TAACACCCTTCCTCGAAGAGCTGGTTGTTATGAGGATAAAGATCCGTGTCTGGGAAGCACTGGGCACAGAATTTAGAACCCACAAGGTGCTTGATTGATGGAGGCCTCATCATTATTATTATCCCGAGGTCTGCCAACCTAGACTAGCTCCAGACTCTCTTTTTCATCTTTCTTCCCAGCCATTTCCAAACTTCTCTAATAGCTGTCATAGTGGGAAAGGTGACCTTGGGCTTGGGGAATAGTGATGGGATAGGAAAAGCTCAGATAGAATGAGGGGGAGTAGAAGTTACAGCCAAAGAGATGTTCACATCCTTGAGAGTGTGAAAAGAGAGGTCCTTGACCTTCTCCTCGGACCCCAGAGCCTCTCTTTAGCCCCCAAATCTCTCCTTCAATCCACAATCTCTTCTCTTTCCTGCCACCAAAATTGAGTTTTCTAGTAAGTGGCTGCAAGGGAACAGAAGGAACTGGGGTAGAATCTGAGAGGAGCACTGCAGTCTCATCACCTCACCCTTCCCCAGGCCAGTCCCCACTGCCATAGCACTAGCCTCTACCCTCTGCCTACTGTTTGAGCACTTCCCTGGCAAAGATGGCTGTGTCTGGGAAAAACCCAGAGAAGTGGCACCCCATAGTGGGTGGGGAGAATCCAGGCTGGAGAGAGCTGAAGAGGGCCAGGGTGGAGTACCTAGGGCCTCCTAGTACGCCCTAGCATTCCCCAGCCCTCTCGTGTCCCCTGGAAAGGATCCGCTCCCAGTGAGAGAGCCAGCAGACAGGTCTGAGCTGGCCTGCTCCTCCACAGACAGAAGAAGAACAGGCTGGGGGAGGGGGCCTGAGATCTTGGTGGGGAGTGGTGGCTATAACCCCCACATCTCCTATGGGGAGCTGGGGCAGAAGGCACTGTGGCCTGGGCACAGCTTACCATAGCCTGGGGGCCCAGCCCTTGTCTCCCTTGGCTAGCCTGCTGCTACTTGGGGTGTCAAGGGTCTAGACCTCCAGGTGTGAAGGTGGTGCCTGCCCACCTCTTCCCAGAGAGCCAACACTGGTTCTCCACTTCCCCTCCCCTGGGCTGGGCAGGTTCAGGCTAATCTGCGCCAGAGCTTCACGGCAAACATTGATTTGTAATAAAACCACAATGTGTGTTCGGGAGAAGGGATTCCAGACACAGAAAAATCCAGACACACATACACACTCACACACATACACATGGATGCAAAACATACAGCTCTGAGGAGCGCAGACACCAACAATCCTGAAAACACAGCTAAACATGGACCTCTATGCTGAATCAAAAGCATGATTAGCTCTACACTTACCCTCCATGCCATAAACTTTGTCCTTCAAAACCCAAGCCTTCTCTGACAGTTCATTTCCCCCGTGTTCCCGCAGCACATTCTGCACAGCTCCGTAACTGCATTTGCACTTGGCATTGTAATTATTTGTTGGCCAGTTTTTCTCCTCAAGTAATCTGAAGATTCCTTAAGGGAAGGGATCCTGACTTAGGCAAGTGTATATCCTCAGCATCTAGCATGAAGCCTGGTATTTATAGGCATAGGTGAGGTGCTTAATAAATAATTGTTGAATTGATGGACAGAATAATAAATGGATTCTGATAGTGAGACACCCATGCTGAGAATCCCTCAGAAGCACACAGCATAACTAGTACAAGCTACTCAGGCCTCTGGCCCCGCCTTCTTGTCTCCAGCTCCCCTGACCTTACTGCCTCTTAGCTTCCTCAAAGGCCCTCCTTTTTCCCTCTTTGCTCAGTGTGAGACCATGAATTTGAGTACCACCTGAGGGCTGGTAGGCAAGGTAAGGGTTAATGACACCTCATTAGTGCTTAATTGGAGGAAGGAAGCTGCCCTGGCACCAGACAGGTGGGCAGGCCTGCCCCTCAGCTGGAAGCAGGCATCCCGAGTTCCAGCACCCTGCCGGGCATGTGGGTGATTTGGCCCTGGAGACCCTCAGCTCAGTCCAGGGCACCTCCCCCCACCATTTGCTTTGCCAATGTAGTCTCCAGGCAGTACAGACCAGCCCTCCCCATCTGTCACCAAACGTCCAGAGGGAGAGGCAGACTTCTTATCCTTTCTCCTTTAGCTAGGCTGTGCCCTGTCCCTCCTCTGGAGAGACTGGAGGCTGGGAGGAGAGGTAGGGTAAGGAACTGGACCACTGAGAGGTAGATTAGAGAGTCAGTGAGGGATAGATTTGGGATACAGACAAGCGACAGAGCTGGGGATGTGGAGATGTCTGCCCAATTTGACCTTAAATGAAGAGAATGCAAATGAGATGCAGACGATATGCAGATGAACGCGAGGATCTCAGAATTAACATTCCGGGTGGCGTGAGCTCTGTACCCAGGACCCCCACGCTTTTGCCAATACTCCCCTCCTAACCTTCCTGGGCTGAGTGAGTAAAAGGATCTCAAGAAAAATAAGAGCTTAGTTGGGCTAGGACTGCAGGACCTGGGAAACAGGGCTCTGCTCTCGCCTCCCCGCCCCCAACCCAAGCACCACCCAAGCTGCCATTGAAGCACAAGCAAAGACCACTCTCCAGGTTACGCTCGGACGCACCGTCGGTTGCTATGGGGACCCCCTCCACGTCCAGGCCTGAACCAATGGGCATCACCGCTGATGACCTCATGCCCCAGGCCCAAGGATTCTATTGGTTATTTAGAAGTCAGCGTGCCCCTCTCCAACTGCGTCACCGCTGGGGATCCCCCGACGACCCCAGCTGGTGTGGCCGACTGAAAGAAGAATGCGCTGGGAGCTCACAACTTGCCGAATGGATGAGTAAGGAAAGGAAGGAATTACTGAAAGGGAAGAAGAAAAAACGGTGGGGTTACATTGAAAAGACCAAAACTTTAGGGTTTAGCCTCTGGTGGAAGACTTGCAACCCCAGAAAGTGGGGAGCAGGATCGAGGTCGGAGACTGGGGCTCTCGGGTTCTCGGAACAGCGACATAGCTTGATGCGAAGATGAGGGGTTTTTGCATCATTCTGGTGAGACTAGGGCAAGCCCAGCAAATTGAGGGCCCCACCCTCGGCCATCTAGCGCCGGTGAGTTTAGGGGAGATCGGTGACGCCTCAAAACCTGCAGGTCCGCCGAGCCTCCTGGAACCACGCCCGGGAACACGCCTCGAGGACTTCTCATGGGTAGGGCCCAGTGCCGGAAGACCGCCCAGCGTCTTCGTCCTGTCTAGGCCCCATGAGCGGACTTGGCCCTCGCTTTCCTTGGAGACGCGCCCCGCAACTGAATCAGTTGTCCACACAAGGCCCAGGCTGGGCGGAAAGCGAGTGTAGGGAGGGGCTGGCTCGAGGCCTGCGGCCGGCGGGCCTGCGTCTTCCCCGCCTCCTCTCCCTCCCCAGCCCAAGTGCGTGGCGGCCCAGGTGTCCACCCTCACACCTGCAGAGAGCCAGGAGCTGGCGAGGGCCTGCCTGTGTCTGTGTCAAGCGTGCGCGTCTGCCTGAGAGAGAGGGCGTGTGTCTTGAGTGTGGGGAAAGCCGGTTTGGCCCCGTGTCTCTTTCGCACATGCGTTATCAGCGGCGAGATCCGCGCGCCGGCTACAGGCTCGGGAGCGAGCGCGCCGGGCTGGGTCCGCGAAGGGAGGGTGTCTGCGGCCGCTGGGAGCAGGATGAGAAGCCCGCAGTCCTTAATGCTGGTCTAACCAGTCATCCCCGGCCCGCGCCTCCTCTGGCTTCACTGGAGAGGGGCGGAGGTAGCAGTACAGTCGGTTTCCACGGTGACAGATGGACACCCTTCAGGTTGGCAGTAGAGACTGAACTCGAACACAGGACCGAAGACCGAGCCCATAGCTCAGGCTTCAGCTCAGACTTCACCCTCTTCACTCTGGCCCCTCGCCCCCGCTAAGAATCGTGTTTTGGGGTGAGGGCCCTGACACGAATACGCAAGCACATGCACCTACAGATATGGCATTTTATGAAAGTGGCCTTGAATCAGGGGGCGGGTCAACTCATGTAGGCTTCGTCCTCGGTGCTGCCCTCCGCCCCAGGCTTCAGAGCAATGGACACAACCCAGAGGGACGGGGTGTGAGCCGGGTGTGCAAAGGGGTGGGGCAGGGGCTCGAAAACCTCCAGCATTTCGGCCTGGTCATCAGTCTCTGGACCTCTAGCACCCTCCGCCCCCCCCCCCCCCCCCCCCCGCGCATGTTCACACGCCGCCTCTTGCCGCCGCAGCCCCGCCGAGCTAATCAGCACAACATCCACCTATCGATCGTTGGCTGGGTGCCAGGCGGGCCGGCACCGTGCCAGGGGAAGCTGTGGGGCACCGGGGCGGGTAGAGCATAGCACCGGGGGAAGGGGCACCCCTTCTTTGGCTCCCCCCAGGTCACTGGTCAGTCTTGGGAGGGGGGCGTCATAGCTTTGCCTGCCAGAGGTGATAGAGACAGAGTGGGGCTGAGAGCAAAGGGGGCCCTCCCTCCTCGGCCCCACCCCCTCCTCCTTATAAAAGCGAAGAACAAAGAGGCCGCTGGGGAAGGAGGCTTTGATCTGACCCCACCTTCTCAGTTCTAGGCCAGGCACCGCCCAGCCTGCCCTTACGGAGTGGGGGGACACCCAGCTCTCAGGGACCCAGGCATTCTGAAACCCAGATGCTCTCTTTCTACTACCCCTTGCCTTTGCCCCAACATCCTGCTCGGTGCTGCCAGAGCTTGAGCAGTGCCCCGAGTGTGTGTGTGGGGGCTATCAGGAGCACCTGTCCCCTCCCCAGCCCAGGAAACCAGCTAGAGAGGTGGTAAAGGGTGCCAAGCTCCACAGCTGCTGCTGGCACCCACCCCACACTGCCCAGAGGGGTGCCCGCTGAGGCCTGGCATGGATGGCTTGGGCACAGCTGGCATGGGGGTCAGGCCAAGCCACACTGAGAGCAGAGACTTCAGGGAACTCCGCTACTGTGCCACCCCCCACCCTGCACCCCGCTCCCCCCACCCCCCTCCAGGGCCCAGTGTCAGGCAAGGAGCTAGAGGGCAGAGGGCAGTAGGTTGGAAAAAGCAACAAAAAGATGGGTAGTTGGTTTACTGAAGTCCCGACACTTACAAAAATATACACTGGCATGAAATTCAACCTCATGCTAAGTCCGTCTTCACAGAAGACAAGTGAATGATCCTCTGGGGAGGCGAGGTGCTGCCCCAGGGAAGAGGCCCACAGGGCACTGGGGACAGATGGCAGGCCTGGGCTTCTTGCCTGACCTGGTCCAGCAATCCGCCTGTCCCCAGGTCTTCGCCTTGGCCCCCAGCAGGCTCCAGGATGCCATCCCATCAAGTCCCAGCCTTCCTGGGGGCAGGGATTTGAACATCAAGCCGCTGATGGAGACCTTATGGTTGCCTCGCCTCTGCTCTGAGGTGCCCAGGGCTGTCCGCCGCTCCCTGTGGCTCCTCTTCAGCCTGTGATGAGGAGGCCAGTACCTGGAAGGGTCGCCTCAGACCTCCCCCCCAACTCTTCCATCTTGTCTGTCTGGCTTGGCACGTCCAGCTCAGGTAGGGGGCAGGGGCCCCTCTCCAAGGAGTCTTAGGAGGGCTCTGGTTCCTGGGGGTGGCAGGAAGGGTCCGCTTGGCTCAGAGAACTCTCAGGAGTCGCAGAATTGGAAACAGCAGCAGCAGCAAGAGACAGAGGGGACTGGGAGTGGCCCCTCCTTGCCACCCTGACGTGCCACTCTCTCCACGGCTCCCAACAGGATGGGCTGACTCAGGCTCTGTGAGGGGGAGGGGGTAGCACTGATGGGTCCTCTTGCTTCGGCAGCCTCCTTCTTGCTCTGCCCGTTAGTTGTTCACTCCCACCCCTTGCTTCAGGGTCTCCCGAACCAGCCAATCCCTCCCATAATCTGCCACCTCAAAGCCCCAACTTGCAGGTCTCCTCCCAGGTGCCATTAGAGGCCACCAGTTCAGTGAGGGCCTTGCCCCGGAGATGCCATTCCCACTGTGCAGCGGAGGCTCCCACAGGCTAAAGGGGGAAGAAGAGGCCCCCCAGAGTCTAATGCTCCCAGATTCTTCCCACTGCTCCCCCCATTCCCGAGGGCCCCACACTAGCCAGAAGGGTTGCTCCCCTGCCCCAACCCACTCACTGTCCTCCTTGCAGCAGATAGACACCTGGAGCCTCAAGCATTGGCCAGGACTCCCCGGAGTTGGCACTGCTGGGTGGTGGGAAATTGGGAGGAAGAAGTTAGCATGGGCTAGTTTGCATGCTTCAGAGTCACTTTAAAACCCTCCCAGCTTCTCTCTCCAGTTCTCTGGAAAACTTTTCCTTATTGTGGGGCTACATCTAGATGCCCACCTGTGTTCCTCCTCATGTCCCCTTGCCCGGCTCCTCTTCCTTGCCCCGTGTCTTTATCAGCTCACTCTAGATATCCCCCTACCACGTTCTGGACCCTTGCCTGCTCCCCTCTCCTAGGCCTGGCCTGCCTTCCTTTCCTTTCCCCGCCCCTCAGGCTCTCTGCCTTGACTGCTGGTAATGGCAGGTAGCCCCACTCCCCTCCCTGCCTTCCCCAGGAGGTGGCCAGGGTGCCCATCCTCACTCACAGATGTAGTAGTAGGTCTCTCCAGGCAAGAACTCCATGCCAAGGGAGAAGGGTGTGAAGCGCTGAATCTTCTCTGGAAATCGAATAGGGCCAAAGGGAGCGAAGGGGTGGGAGCACTCCCAGCGCTTGAAGGCACCCGGCCCTTCAGCCCGGCAGGCCTTGTAGCCCGCCCAGTCCACTACGTATAATGCGAATGTCTCGGGGCCCTCAGGGGGCCCTGGACTCTCATAGTGTGGGCAGATGATGTCTAGGTAATCCTTGAAGCCCAGCTCCACCACAGCGTCTCCTCGAAGCAGCCTGCAGGCATAAGGTAGTCGAGGGCAGAGGGGCTCCTTGGCACAGCACAACAGGGGCACAAGGTTCAAAGATACCCCTTCCCAAGGGTCCCTGCCAGCCAGTCCCCACCCGCTGGATCGGGAGCAGCTTGGGGGGGTCTTTGAGTTCCCCAGACCTACAACTCTTGAGAGACAAAGAGAGCGCAAGAAATGGATGAGGTAACCGATGCACAGTTTCAGAGAGGTTAAGGGACTGCAGGGCCTACAACCACAAGACTCAAACGTGAGAAGGTCACTCCCACACCCTAGCCTTTGGGTGGGAGCTGCCACCCCTCTTGAGCTCTGATGCCCAACACAAGGCCTTGGTGTAGCACCTGTGCTTGACAGATGTTAGGTGGATGGCTGCGGTGAAGAAGCCGAGGCACAGAGGCGAAGGGCACAGATCTGGGCCCACAGTGCAGTCACAGACCAGAGATGGAGACTGGAACAGTATCCTCTTTAACCGATTCACAAAGGGGAAGGCTGCCTTTTTAAGATGTCAATTCAATGCCGAAAGAATGCCATAGTAAGAAAGAAAGAAAAAGAGTGGATGGTGGGAACCTCCCCTCCCCCTCCTTTTTTTGCCAGGACAACAAAGTGCCAGACTTGGAGCCCCCTCCACGTATCTCCCAATCTTTGGCCTCCTCAGGACTCCCTTCGACCTCTTGGGAGATGCCCCGGGGGGAGCCACTATGGGTGTTAAGACCTAGGACACATCAACCCCTCCCCCATCAAGTAAAGCATGAACTACTCCCATCCCCATGCTCATCATACACAGAGCCCAACTTGACTTATGAAAGGCCCCCAACTCTCTCTCAATGGGTGGTCTCAAGACCACCTGCATCTGGAGTTGTGATTAGGAATGCAGATTCCTGGACTCAGCTCAGACCTGCTGGAACAGAAGCTGGGCCTTTGTTTAGTTCCGCGGCATCCCTAGTGCCTGGAAAAGTGTCATGCACAAAGAAAATGCTTAATAAATATTTGGGAATGGAATGAATGAGTCAGAAACCTCAGGGTTAGGGGGTAGGAACCTGAATTTTTAACCAATTTTCCAAGTCATTCAGAGGCACTGGTCTGGAACACAGAGAGGAATTCAGAGGTGGAAGACAACAGCTCTCACCACACAGCAATGGTATTGTAATGACCTCTTCTGAAGCCTGCTCACCCGGGGGCCCTTGGGGATCCCAAAGGGCAGAGCCTAGGTCTTATTTCTAACCCCCAGCGCCCTAGTCCGGGCACACCGTACACGCTTAATAAATGTTAGTGACTGAACAAATGAACAGAGTCACAGATTGTTTTAAGTAGAAAATCAGAAAGGAAAACATGGAGAAAGCAGAGAGAGGCAAGGAGAATTGGGGAGGAGCATGGAAACAGGAAAAAAACATCCGGGTTCCAAGGCAGGCAGATCAGGAGACAGAAAATAGTAGTTTATATCTGTACAGCCTTTACCTCCTGTACACACATGACCTCAGTCTACCTGACTTCCCAGGGTACTAGACAATATTACCCCATTTTACAGATGAGATAACTGAGGTTAGGGAGGTCAGATGACTTGCCTAAAAGTGACTCAACTCTAGGAGGGCAGGGCCGAGACTGCACAGAAATAGAAGGACTAATAATGACTGAGATGAAAGCGTTCTAGAATGAGCTCAGGAGAAAAAGCGAGCACCAAAGGGGAGGCCAAGCCAGCAGGAGAGTAACCCTCTTTCACAAGAGTAACCACCCCCCCTCCGGCGCCCCGCAAGTCCGCTCGCCCCAGCTTCGGCCAGAGGAAGGCTGGGGATCCCCAAGACAGAAGCGAGGGGGGCGGGGCTCGGGTTGCAGGCTGAGGTTCCCCCAGCTCCCGGCTCTCAGACCCCACCGACTGCCTTCGGGGCTGGGGTCCTCCGCTCGCCTCCAACGCGAGCGGGCGGGCATGGGGGACCCCAGGCGCGCCTCGCCCCTCCCTCCTCCCCCGCCGGCTCAAACAAAGGATCCCCGGCGCGCGGCCGGGTCCAGGCGGCGCCGCGCACAGAGCGAGTGTCGTGCGCGCGCCCGGCCCGGGAGCGTGCAGGCCCGGCTCGCCGCCCGCCGGTTTCGGCCCGGCTACCTGGGGTTACTGGAGTTCCAGTAGACCGCAAGGCGGAGGCCACAGCCCCCTCGCAGAGGGGAGCTGAGGAGCACGGCCCAGAGGACAGTCTGCAGCAGGGGCTGCAGCCGCATCGCCCCCTAGGTCTGGTGTGGTCTGGCCCGGCCCGTCCCGGTCCGCTTCGCAGTCGCGGCGAGAAAGGTACAAAGTGCAGAGGAGGTTGGGGTGGGGCTTGCGAGAAGGGGGGTGGGGTGCAGAGACTCACAGGCCACGCCCCTGGATAACTTTTCACCAATGGGGTCGCGTCTCCGCCTCTTCATTCAAAGCCAACTCTTGTTAACCTTCTGGGCGCCGCAGAGTTCTCCAGCTTCGGCAAGCTTTCGCTGAGGTTGGGCCCGTTTCAAGGGGGCGGCAAAAAGGGACATATTACCCTGTCTAGGAGTTGTTTTAGAGAGGTCGTGTCTTTCGTGCTGTGTTAGTACAGGGTGCTTCCCTGGTGGTTCAGGGGTAAAGAATCTGCCTGCAGTGCGGGAGACGCGGGTTCGATCCCTAGGTTGGGATGATCCCCTGGTTGGGATGATCCTCTGGAGAAGGAAATGACAACCCACTCCAGTATTCTTGCCGGGATAATCCCATGGACAGAGGAACCTGGCGGGCTACAGTCCATGGGGGTCGCAAAGAGTCGGACTGAGAGACTAAACAAAAACAACAATATAGTGTGTGTGTGTGTGTGTGTGTGTTTTCAATTGCTCAGTCGTGTCTGACTCTTTGTGACCCCATGGACTGTAACCCGCCAGGTTCTTCTGTTCTTGGGATTATATCGGCAAGAATACTGGAGTGGGTTGTCATTTCCTTCTCCAGGGGATCATCCCGACCCAGGGATTGAACTCACGTCTCTTGCGTCCCCTGCTTTGGCAAATGGATTCTTTGCCACAGCACCACCTGGGAAGCCATAATACAGGGTGGAAAGCCTTATTAAATCTTTGGAAGATTTAAATATGGGCCCACGCCTCTCACCCAGAAAGAGGCAAGTGAGGCGCGGGGCAAGAATCCATGAAGTTTGTCCAGCCATCGTAGGCACATTGCTCCTTTTTCTTTGCACGTCTAGAGATACAGCGAGAGGAAGGGACAAATCGCCTCCCGGGGACCCCTCACCCCACCCTTTACCGAGCCTCAAGTGGCAAGCTTGATGCTTACCTTGGGATTGGCAACTGTCCCTTTCCACCCCACACCTTCGTTCTGGGAGAACGAAGGCCACAGTCTCCAAGACGAAGTAATGAGGTGGTTGCGGGCCGGTACAAAGCACCTTTGTTCCCAAACCCTCAGGTGGGGTGGGGGAGGGGGGAGGCAGGTGTGCGGCCTTGGAATCGTGGGAGCCGCTGCCCCGCCCTGCCCCAGCTCCGGGGCTCTGAGAACATCAGCCAGTTCCATTTTCCCCAGCCACTGGTCAGAGGGTGGGGAAGGCGAGTCCAACAGCTTGACGGGTTTGTCAATGGCCGCCGCTAAAGGGCCGCGCAGCGTTGGCGGTGAGAACTTGGCGACTGGGGGTGGTAGAAGGCATACAGCGCCCTTTGTGGTACTGGATTATGCAGAGAGACATCACAGGCTAGGCAGACACTAGCCGCGAGCATCCCAGGGATCCTCTCACCCAACCTGGGACTCTCGCCCTCCCTATCCTGTCTTCCTCTGAGGCGGCAGCGTCTCCTGGCGGCCAGACCTGGAATCACAACAGGGGAGACCCTCCTTCCCGAAGCAGACAAACTTGAAGACGTGCTCCCAAGACCTCACTTTTATTTTAAGTCAGCAGACAGGCTGTGCGCACTTCCTTCAGCTCCGTCCAGCTCCCAGACCCTCCCCAACCCCCAGATGCCGCGGAGTGGGCCGGTCCCCAGAGTGCTGTTTGACAGCAAGTGGAGGTACCCGGTATCTTAAGACTCCTGCTCCACAGGGTCCAGGCTCTGGCTCCTTCAGTCACCGTGGGGGGCTTCAGGGGTCAGGTCTGCCTATTGACGTCCTAAGTCCAGGCTGGAGGCAGCAGAACCTCAGGAGAAGTTAGAGGTAGAGCGAGGACGCTGCTGGGGGCGGCGGCGCAGGCCTGGGATGTGGAAAGCCAAGAAAAAAGGTCAGAGGTGCTGTTTTCCCAGACCACTCGCCCAATCCACCCATCCTCCGCGCCTCTCCTCTCCTCTCCTACCTGGAGGGTACCACTGGGGGCGGGATTCCAGCTCCAGGGCCAGGCAGGTCACCAGAAGGGCGCCGGCCGTGAGGGTCAGCAGGCAGTGGCTTTCTCGGGGGTGGGGGCTTGGTGGGCCCCTGTGGCTGAGAGAGAGAAGGCCAGCTTGGGAGAGCGTATCATGTTGTTCACCTCTGACGCACTGATGCTGGGGAGCACCAGCTTGAGAGGTGGCACCATAGGTCACCTGTGTCTCCAAACCAACCTGTCACCATTAAAGATGCCACTGGGGTATGTGGCCTCAGGCACAGAGGAGGTCTTGCCACCAGCACCACAGCCCTGGGTGGGGGGAGAGGCTGTGCCCTTCTCTCCCCCCACGGTTACCTTTGGGCGCCTCACCACCGGGTCAGCGGGCAGAGGGCGGGTGGGGGGATTGGGTCGGTCTGCCAGCTCAGCCTGAACAGAGAGAGGGGCGGTGACTATGAGAGCACAGCCAGGGGCAGTGGACATGCGACGGGTCGCCCCAGGGGTTCAGGTCAACATGCAAAGTCAGCCAGGGGGCAGAAGAGAACTGGGACGTGCGCATGGGGCTTGAGTGCATGCCAGGAGAGGCCTCAGGGGAGAGAGGTGTGGGTCACTGGGGGTGTCCCTGGCCAACTGCAGTCCCGCCACTGACCACTAGATGGTGGTAGAAACCAAGGCAGACGGCTCACCCTTTGCTGCTTCTGGGGCTCAGAGTGTCTGAAGGCTGAGGGCACCCTGGTCCCCTAAAGACGAGTGCTACTGGCAGGGAACAGGGATGAGAGCTGCAGTTGGGCACCAAGCCTCCCACCTGCCCTGGGCCAGGGCCGGGCCTGGCCCAGATTTACCTGGAGTCTCTTGGGCACAGGGTCAGGAGGCAGCGGCCTGGAAGGAGGGGCCGGGAAGCCAAGAGCACTAGCCTGCTGAGAGAGCCGGAGGAGCAGACAGGCAGGGGGCGGGGGAGGGAGCAGAGAGACAGATGTGGGCAGAGAGGTGTTAGTGCTCAGGGGTGGGCAGCCAGGGCCCCAGGGGCAGTGGGGCTGTGCATGCATGCAGTTATTCAGTTGCATGCAGAGAGGGTGACAAGTGGTGGAGTAGGCAAGCAGACCACCTCCACACACGCACTCCTGTCATCAGATCCAGGGGGCTCAGGGCAGAGGCACTCACCGGCCCTTCTACACTTGGTGGCCAGGGCCTCATCAGGTCCTGGCGCATGAAGCCCACTCTGAGCACCCCCTCGTGCCCTCCTGGGGCACCACTGCTGGGAGCACAGGGAGACCCACCTTTGAAAGCCACTGGCTTGGCCAGCTCGCAGAGCTCAGCACTCCTTCCTCTAGGTGATTGCCCCGCCCCAGTCCAGACTGGACTGTTTCTCAGCCTGCAGCCAGGGGAGGTGCGGGGAAGGCTGGCCCTGACTCCAATGACTGACTCATGGGCGATGCAAGTCTTTCTCTGAGTCCAGAGCCTTGGACACCCCCACCCAACCTGGATTCCTGCCTGGGTCGGGGCCCTCTCTGCTCTGGCATACAGACTTACCTTGGCACCTGGCATCAGCAGGGCCCTCTGTGGGGGTCCTGGGCGTTCTGGGGGACCAGACTGGGCTGCCCTGAGCATGGAGAAAGGCAAGGAGGGCGAGGACCCAGCCTCAGACCATTTTGTGCCCATAGGCAGCCCTTGAGTGGGGTTAATTCTTTGTGGCCCCTTGAAGCATGGTTTAGGCCAAATCAGAGGTGAGGAGGGGAAGCTGATCAGCCTGAGGGATGGCCCCACTTATCCAGCCCTGGGGCTCCTGGAGAGAAATGGTCCTAGCACTGCAGTTGCCCCACCTGGGTCTACACATGAGGTGAAGAGTTATGGGGCACAAGTAGGGAAGGGGGTGTATGGGGTGTGGTCTGGGGGCTGCCCAGGGGATGGGGGCAGGGCTTCAGAGCTGTGGTCCTTAACAGAGATGTTGAGAGAGTTGGTAACAGGGAGGCTGGTACCTGTATTGGCAGCTGGGTCCTTTGAGCTGGCAGAGTCGTTGGCGCAGGCGGGCACGATGCCAGTAGCTGGCACCAAGGAGCACCAGGACCAGCAACAACAGGAGGCTGAGAGGCAGCCCTGTGGTCAGGGAGCTGGTTGCTGTGGGTGAGATCAGGTGATCAGTGAAGTGAAAGGGTCAGGGGTCACAGGGAGGCAAGGAACCAGCAGTGAAGGGATCAGAAAAAGAGGGGTGATGAAGGACACCCTCTCAGCTGCCCCTGCACCCCACGCTGTGCTACCTCTGATGTGGGTGGTGCAGTCTGGGGGTGCCCAGCCATCCTCACAGTGGCAGCGTCTGTTGCTGTCGCAGACCTAGGATGCACAGGTTGGACAGTGAGGAGCTGGGCTCTCTGGGGCCATGTTTCCCTGTCCCCAGCTTTTCAGGATCTCAGATGTCCACGGCTGGGCATGCTGAGGATGAGGAGGTAGAAGGTGCCACCGCTCTGGAGAGAGGGACTCGATCGGCGCCAGCAGCAGAGGAAATTAGATTGAACTCACGCTGTGAGTGCCTTCTATCTGCCGGCCACTGTGCCAGAAGCTAGTGTTGTACTCACCTCGTGTGCCCCAGGAAGTGGGTACTACTATTATGCCCATTAGTTAGATGAGGAACTGAGCTCAGAGAGGTTAATAACCTGCCAGGGGTCCCACAGTTAAGACACGGTAGAGCTAGGATTAGAACCCAGGTGTGTCTGTTTGCAAAGCCCACCATTATTTTCCTTCCCAGAGGCTCCCTGCTCCCCCTTCATCTCCCCCCATGCCAGCTCACCCCATGCCCATGGCATCTCCTTCGACATTCCTGTGCTCCCAGGACCTCTACTGACTGGCACCGCTGCTCAACACACACCTGCCCAGTGGGGAGAGAAGAGCAAAGATCACCCTCTCACACGCTTTACTGGCCCTGGGACGCCGAGGCCCAGCACACTTTTACAGATGGGGACACCAAGGCTCACAGGCCCACAGGACTCTGCTCCATCTGAAGTGAGAATCTGAACTCCCCTCAGAGCCTGCACTGTTTGCACTGGTGGCTAATGAGGTCTGG